GGAGAAGACTTCTGAGAATGCTATAGACAGCCAAAAAAACAAGCTGATGGATCACTGAACAAATCGACCAGAGTTCTCACTCAAGGCACAAATGACCACACTTAAATTATACTACTTCAGACACCTTATGCAAAGATCCAGCTCTCTGGAAAAGGCTCTAATGCTAGGAAAGATGGAAGTAAAGAAAAGAGGACAACCAGCAGCAAGGTGGATGGACTCAGCTATGGTGGCAATGAGTACACCATTGGGAAACTTGAAGGAACAGCTTAGGGATAGATAGTCATGGAGAAAATCTACCAATGTGGTCACTGGAAGTTGAAAATGACTTGATGGCACATAATCGATTGATCGATCAATCATTCAATCAGCAAGAGTGATTCTTAGACTAGCATGTTTTATCTCTTACCAATGCAAATGCAGTGAAGGACATCAAAAACCTCTGCTTCTTTTCATTTAACTGCAGTTTTGTATGTCAATCAAATACTAAACAGTGGAAATTAGGAAACATAATAAATTATTCACACACCTACACTTTTATAGTCCTTAAAATTAAGAATATGTGACCATTTATAGCAGAGGCCGAGACTGGCCAGGAAATTAGTTTTTCTAAATCACTATGAAAATATATTACTGTGGTTTGGATATCTATCATGGAATGCTTGTTGGGTTTTTTTATTACCTCCACTAGGGATAACAAAACCAAGCTTTATCAGGCTGATTAGAGTTAGGAATAATTTCATGATACCAGAGTAGCTTTCCTTAATTTGTGTAGCATACAAATTAAGGAAAACTACTCTTGTATCATACTAAGTGCTACCAACTCTATCTCACTGCACTCAAAACATGAAATTATTCTTAACTCACAGAAAGGAATCAAAGAAACAAACTGATGCCAAATCTCTGAAAGGAACTGAATATCACATGGCACATATTACTAAGTCTAAGATATAAAACCATGAGAAAGAATAAAATATATAAAAGTAGAGAAAAGGTTGAATCAACAAGCATTTTTAGACAATTGCTACCATTAATATAATGAGTATTTTGAGATTATATGCTCCAACATTTTTGGGCTAGTAGCACATTTTGATTTTGTTAACACACTGTGTGCTGGAGGGGTTATCTATTAAAGTACCATAAGGACACCAATTGAGCGGAATGTAGAATATTACAGCATATAATCCTTGTCCACGATACCCCCCATCTCCTGATTGTAACTTTGTTCTTTTCCAGGCAGGTGCTCAGCTTACTGTTTTTCAAAGGGACAAACAGATACTCTTGCAGAAACAGAATTGGACTGCAGTCACCCAACATTGTTATTGTTTAAGAAAACTCACATCAGGAGTCACACCAGAGATCTCAAATAACTGTCAGCTCAACCTACTTTATAGGGTTGTTAACATTAGGAAAAATGTTAACAAAAAGAGGAATTACTATTTATGCCACCTTGAGCTCCTAAATGAAAGGCAGGATCTAAATCTAACAAATAAATAAACACATTAAGTTTGTATGCAAATGATACCACTGTATGTTAAAAAGTCATTTTCAATTTCTTCAAATTTCTTCAAATCTCCTTGATTTCCAAATCTATGTGTTTTTAGATTTGGAAATAATCTGAGCACACTAGTATTTCCAAGTATGACCTATGGAGAATGAATCATAATCCAATCTATTTTCTTTTTTAATGTTCGTAATACTTCACAGTACATATTATTTATTTATTTTATTTATATATCAAATTTGTCACCACTCATCTCATTAAAAAGCGACTCTGGGAGGTTTACAGAGGAGATTTACAGATTTCACACATACCAAAGCTTATCGTACTGCAAATATCCTCAAGATAGCAAACCTTTCCAAAGGAACTTCCACAAGGATCACATGGTATATTAACTAAGTCATGAATGTGATTAGTAAGTCATGTAAATGCACAAACCAGTCAGCACTGGGGCAGGAATTTAAATCAAAACAGCTCCAGATTGTTCAGTTGTGTTATACAAGTCCAAAAGAGAGGATTAATCTTCTCTTCTGATCATTTACATAGATGGAAGCCTACAGCAGAATTGGACATCTTTGGGTATTTCTCTCTCTTGTTTTATTCTTTCCAACCCAGGAAAATATTGAAAAGAAATTAAGTAAAAGAACTCCAGACTCTGTCCATCTGTCCATCAGCAGAATAATTCTCCAAAAACAGAACAGAATGGGACCACATTTGGTAGGGCTGAAGAAGTCAGTGAAAGAAAGTTTGATTTCAAACAGGTGAGAGCTACAGAGAAGAAAATCCAGAAAAATATTTCCCAACTTATCCCTGTGGCAAATAGTGACTTGGAATGGGACTGACAGACCCATTCTAAGCCCTGCTCCCTCTTGATCACATGATCCTGAATGGAGCATACACAGCCTGCCCTCTGCTTCCCAGTGCGCGCACATGCACAGAGAACACATATAGCTACCATGCTGATCTAGTAGGAAGGGATAAACAATAAGGAGGTCACCCAGAGGGGTTTATCAAAAACATTCCAATGCCAGAACAGCCCCTGTCCTGATTACACCCTGAGTGACATACACACAGAAATACAAACAGGTAACACACACACACTCTTAGTCCCAGGTGTATGCGTGCATCCATGCATGCATGCATATACACACACACGACACAAAAAATAAAGATGCCTCCTATGACTGCTGCTACCATGTCATGCATACTTTCTATTCCTTGTTTTTTTCCTATTTACATTTACTGCAGGTGCACAGGGAAGAGACTGAAATGCTGAAAAGAACCAAGAGGGGACATAGATCTTCCCTGACCTCTCTCTAACAGCCCCACCACCCAAAATAATAAAATAACAGTTTATTAAGCTTTTCAAAGGAAGGTCGGATGACTGTTCCTAATACAACTGGGATAGCTTTGGTTTCTGTGGATTCTGTCATTTTGTGCCCTGCGTTGCTGGGGCACTACCTTGGGAGAGTAGAATACTGAGTCATGTATGTCATGCAAACCCGGACCCTCTTTGTTTTTCATTGTATGTTAACATTCAAAATATATGCCAGTATCCGAAGTCATAAAAATGTGTGCCCGAGAAGTGTATTCACACTGCCAGCATAACTGTTAAGTACGTTTCTTTATTAAATCTAACTTAAACACATAAAACATATTTAATTGCCAACAAGAGCTGCATATTTCACAGATCCTAATCAACAAAGTTCTATTAAATCTTAAAGACTAACACATTATACCATAGACTTTGGTAGACAACACCCCCTTTGGCCAATGCATTAAATGTTATCCTGAGATCCAAGTATATTCCCATGGGGAAGACTGTAGATACTTCAATCTTCCAGGTCATTCTGTCCCAGACTTTAAAGCATTTGAACAACAGTTTAAAAGCCAATTTCAGTTCAGAACAACTAAAGAATAATTCATCAAGAAATTCAACAATATCCTCTGTGGCTTGAACTATAACAGTGAATTATCATTTATCTTCACCAAGGCAAGAAAATGTCCATTATTAACTACTTTCTAAGAAAGGTCAGCATTAGTAATTTCAGAATTTCATTTACTTCTTTTAAAAATATAAAATTTCATGCGCCATGCCTTCTTTGTTAATCTACAAGACTTTTTAAATTGTTGTTTACTGGAATAAATAAACAACACTATTATACTGCTCTGGAAATCATTATAAATGTAAATAACATTCAAGTTTAATAACAGTGAGATGGATCCAAATATGCCCTACTAATTGTAGAAGGTCTTTTCCACTCATCAACGAAGTGGAAAATTTAATGAAAGATCACTGTATGAGAAAAATGATTCCAAATCCAGGTAATTTTTTCAGGGTGCCAGAGCTCTAAAACAAGATTTACCACAATCTCTTTTCAAGACTTTTTACTGAACTACAGTATTGCATATATGCACTGTAAGCTCAATCTACCTTGTATTTCCATAAACATTCATAGAATAGCACTACTGTAAAGATTTTCTTCTTTCACTCAGAGTTCACAGCTCTGCACAGCTGCATAGTACTGCAAACTACTCCAAGTTAATAATCCTCAATATATAGAATATATTTTCAGAAGTTGATGAAACCAATACAGTGCATGAAAGGGTGAAAAACTAACAGTGGGAAAATGGAGGCACAGTCATTGTGGAAAGAGTTGGAAAAGGACTGTCAAACAGCCCTAGTGATTACTGTTTCTCTAACAGAAGAAAGATTAACAGCATATCAATTAAAAATGGATACTGCAAAAACTGGATTTACTAATGACACCAAGTCTTACTAAAAACAAGCAGATAGTTCACTATGTACAGTCCACAAGCAATTTGCAAATCTAGATGGATAACTTGGAAGACCATGGGAAATGTTTGAATCTCTGATTTGACATCTGTTTCATCAGAGGAAGAGAACAATATACTAGTGTTTATAATACACGGATTGGCTAGGGTAATTCCAGTATATAGTTTCTTGTAGTACAGTGGTTAAGGTGTTGGACTAGAACCAGAAAGGCCCAGGTTCAAGTCTACCTTCAGCCATGGAAGCTCATTGGATGAGTTCTCTCTCTTCCATACCATCCTACCGCATAGGGTGGTTGTTGTGCAGAAAAAACAGAGGAGGATTTGATGAGCGGAGCTGGCGTCATGGCGGTACGGTGTGCGATCTTGAGCTCCCAAGATCGCAGCCGATATCTCCGGTGCTGGATGGTCCCAAAGGACCCAAACCGTCCTGTAGAGACGGTGATTATATAGGGCACGTCCTGTAGATCCCAGGGACACCGCAAAGTCCCTGGCTGATCCAGGAGAAGTCCCTAAAACCAGTGACGGAGCAGCAGCCATCAAGACTGCAAAAGCCGGGACAGCTCCAAAACGGAAGAAGAAAGACAAAGTGTATCAACCGGGTGAGATGGACTTTTACTATTTAACTTTTCTTAGAGAACACCCTAAGTAATTTAAAGAGAATTTTTTAAAGTGAAGAAAAGTGGGACTAAGCGGCGAGATCGAGCCTTTTAAAAAAAAAAAATCTTTAGTTTTTCAATTTTCCCTTTTTATTGGACTTGAATTTGGCAAAGTGTGTGTGTGTGGGTTTTTTTTATTCAACTGGACTGGCTTTTCTTTTCGATATTTAACAATTTTCGATTTCAAGCTTCTTTGGGATTAAGATTTCTTTTATTGCCTTAAGAAACATATTTTTCTTTTTTTTTTCTCTCTTCGGCTTTGGGAAATAGGGAAAA